TTGTGGCCGTTCATTCCTGCTGGTCAGGAAGCGTGCCGCAACTTACCTTAGATAATATTCCCTTTCAAGATAATAAAGGCTATAAGTATCTCTATTTTTCAGAGGCTATAAGATATAATCCAACTAGTCATTCCTCTAGGATACAGGGTCTTAGTTACACTTTACAAAGAAGTTTTAGGAATCCAAGTGTCATTGTTTAAAACAGTTGGATATTCTATTACACTGCTAATATAGTAAGTCATCAAGTACAAATTATGTACATCATTTTTGAATTATTAAATTAGAATTAAATACTGCTAATCATTAAATTATAAAATTAAATACTTCTAATTATTAAATTACAAACTATGCTTCATAGAAACATTTCACTTTTAAAAGGCTTAGTGTTATCATAACCTAAAGGAAGTGCATCAACGGTGACTTTGTTAAGACAAGTAAAGTTAATAAAGCAATCAATTTGCAGCTGGTATACCCACTCTGCATCCCATGTATCACATATACCCCAGAATTGCAGTGATACGACCCACATATTTGTAGATGATTATTTCAGTTTGAAATACCAAGGGATTGAAATACTTCTACAGACTATTTCAAAGCAAAATATGTTATAGTCACTTCTCCCCACAACAAAATGAAAAGCTGAGTTTTAATGTCCTTGTCTCTATTCTACTTTAACAATGGAGCCACCTTAAATATGTTTTTCCAGTTCCCTTTTGTATTCTCAAGTGATGAAACAATTTGATGTCAATATGGTTTACTACTTAACACCATCATGATGTAAAATACAGAAGATAAAGGAAGTGTGCTAAGACTGCAGAGAAGCTGAAATCCTCAGACATTGCTAGAGGAACCTAAGGTGGTACAACCATTCTAGAAAAACAATAAGATGATTCTTCAAACAATGAAATGTAGAAACACAATGTGAGTCAGCAGTCTCCATCCTGGGCATGTAGTCCAGAGGAACCAAAGCAGAGATTAAGCAATATGTGAACCCTTATGTTCACAGTGATGTTATTCAGAGTATTCAAAGGGTGGAAGGCCCTCAAGTGTCATCTGATGGATGCCCATGCTTACAGGGAATATTATTCAGCCTAATAAAGAAAGTGCATTCTGACACATGATACAATCCAGAATGATCTTTTAAGATGTTATGCTAGGTGAAATAAACCAATCACTAAAAAGTACTATGAGATTGAGTTATCTATGGTGATCAAAGACAGAGGCAGCAATCAAAGTGTTGGCATCTGGGAGCTCAGGGAAGGAGCTATGGAGAATTAGCTTTTAACAGGGATAGAGTTGTAGAGTTTGAGATAATCGAAGTGTTCTGAAGATGGACAGTAGTAGCAGTAACACAGAAGTGTGGGTGTGATCGTGTACAAGTCTGAAGAATAGTCAAAACGGGGCACTGTAAGATGTACATTTTTTAATTAAACAAGACAATTTTGTAATGATTTTAATTATTTAATACAAGAAATAAACTTGGAACTTGTTCTTTTATCTCTACATAGAATGTTAGTGTTTTTGTAGGATAGGAAAGTACTCTCTGTTTATTAAGAGGGATGTGTGTGCATGTGTTCCTGTGTACACGTGTGCTTACAGGTGCATGTGTACACACATATGTGTGGAGGACACAGGCTGTGGGTGTCTTCCTCTATGACTATCTATTTCTGAGACAGAAATCTCTCATTGAACTCAGAGCTCACTGCCTTGCTATAGTAGCTAGCTACCAGACTCCACTTCCCTGTCACTCACCCTCCAGTGCTGGAGTTGGAGATGCACACCAGCATGTCTGGCTTTTATATGGGTGTTGAATGTCCAAACTTGGGTCGTCATGATTATGTATGTGGTAAGCACATTAAGGACTGAAGCATTTCTCACAGTGCTAATTTGTCTACAGCAACCATGTCTACAACCTCAGTGAGTTCACACTTTTCCTTATCAACTTGGATATTTTTTTCCAGCTTTCTGCTCCACTGTCTGCTCTGCTTCACTGTACACCTGCTAAAAGTGATGAGAAACGACCACAATGCAACTTAAACACTATAGTCCTTAGAAATTTTCTTTGCCAAACAAATAAGTTTGTTAATTTTTAACTCAGCATTAACTTTTCATCTCAAGGGCAGAATGCAGTCAGATGCATTGTCAGAATGTGCATGTTCTAAGTGGAGTGCTCATTGCTGTTTGGGACCGCGCACAAACATTTTTACATCCACATGTATAACAGCAGACAGCAGTTTAGCTTTCTGAACTGCTACCAGGAAGGCCACTAACTAATCTCAGCTTACAGCGCTCTAGTACTTCTCCAGCCTGAGCTCCAAACGCTTTCCCAGCCCCACTGCCAATCTCTCCCAAAGGCTCCTCAACCACGTCATCAGGTTTGCCACAGCAGTGACTCAATTTTTCCGGACTGATTTTTCTATACTGATTTTTCTCATATCACCATGATCAAATCCAGGCAGAAGCAGCTTAGGGGAGGCAGGATTTGTTTGGTTCAGGGTGTGAGAGGGTACAGCCCATAGTGTCACAGAGAATGTGACGGCAGAATTGGCTCATCCTCAGAAAGCAGGAGTAGAAGGCAGCTGGGTACATCATGTCACCCAGGCAGGAAACTCAGGGAACTGGGACTATAGCCTCTCCATCTAGTTTCTGCTTCCTGAATGTCAGACAACCTACGAAGACAATGCCGCCAGCTAGGAATCCAGTGTTCAAACTGGAGGAGATATTCGCTAAGCTGGAATAGTAGTGAATTAAAGAAGATATTTCATAAACAATATATAAAAAAGATTGTTAATTCTTTTCAGGAAATTATGCTTATGCATTTCCCATATCTACATTCATACATTGTCCACAAAGAACATTCATATAATATCCATACCTAAAACTGAGCTGTAAAAATTTAGTTTTAGGAAAGTGGACTCATAAAGAAATTAGTAACATAATTAGTTCCATAAGATAAATATGACTTCATTTTAAAGTTGTAGTTATAAGAAATATAGAAATGGGATCTTTTTTCTTGCTCTCCTTCTCTGTCTTTCCCCCATCTCAGCTATCCTGTTCCCTATGTTCTCCTCTCCCCTCCACTTCTCCAGATAACAGTTGTGTGGCTTGGGTAGTCTGTGGGACCACTGGCAGTAGAACCAGGACTGACTTATCCCTACTGATTGAACTGGCCTTTTGAAGCCTATTCTCATCAGAAAGATAAGCTTGCTCAGCCTAAATATAGTGGGAGAACTTTGCTCCTGACTCAACGTGATGTGTTGGACTTTGTTGACTCCCCACAAAAAGCCTCACCCTCTCTGAGGAAAGGATGGGGGTGGGGTTGGGAGAAGGTAGGGGAAGAAGGAAGAGGAGAGAAACTGGGAACTGGGATTGGTATGTAAAATGAGGAAAGATTGCTTTAAAAAATAAAAAAGAATATATTCTAGAGCAGAAAAAAGAAAATTAGGAATGAAACATTTTTAAATGACAGGTTAAGAACAGCACTTGAGAGACAAAGGCAGGCAGACCCTGTGAGTTTAAGGCCAGCCCAGGCTACAGAGCGACAAGGCTACAGAGAGAAACCCTGTCTCTAAAAGCAAACAAACATAAAATACTATAGCTAATGAATGGGTAAAGGAGTTTTCTGCTGAGTCTGATGACTTAGTTCAAGCCCCAGAACCCACACAATATAGGAAAGAACTAACATTTTTTAGGTTGTCCTCTGACCTGTGAACCATGGCCCATGCACTTGTACCAATAGATAGAGAGAGAGAAAAAGAGAGAGAGAGAGAGAGTGTTAAAAAGTTATTCAATATAAGGAAATATTTCAAATACATTCATTTGTCTAACAAAATTATGAGTATTGTGTTTTTCAAACATGTTAGAATTTTAGGCCTTGGTGTGACAGTCTTTGAATATACAGCTCTTAAGAAGCTAACTAAAGTTAAATAAAGTCAGAAGATGGGAGATGCCAGGATCTATATAAACAAGACCAGGAAACACACGTGAAGAAGGCAGCTGCCTTGAAGTCAAAAGTGAAGCTTCAGAGGAAATAGGCCTGCCAGGCACCTGGCTGCTGACTTCTAAGCCCCAGAACAGTGAGAATTAATTTTTGATGTTTAATCAACATAGTACCTTTCAATATCATATTTTCTATGATAGCAAATGGAAAGTCAAGAAAAATAAACCACTGACATAAAAAGACATAGGATAAAAGATGATTCATGCCTGTTCATACACAGGGTAGACTCAATAAGAAGCATAAGATAAACACACTGACTCCCTGAGACATGGGGTTCTTATGCTGTGATCTCTTTTAAAGATGTTGGTGCTAAAGATGTTCAAACTTGAATTTCCTGTGATATTCACAGAGCAGCATCCAAAGACTGGCTCTAGCAGAAAAACCCAAAGTGAAGACCCAGACTGTCAGTTGGGAGAGTCACATGCTCTGAATTAGAGCCTTCATTCTAAAAGCCGTAAGTGGGGAGTCATGAAATTGCATTTGGATTTTCTCTGTCCTTCAATTATTACACTTCAAACAGAAGTAATCATCTTCAGTCTCCAACTTCTTGATATAATTTTAAAAAACAGTAGCTGTGCAATCACATGTAGAACAAACCATGTGATGACCCTTTGGCTGAGTGCTTTTCAAATAAAATATAATGCATGTATTATGGGTCAAGGTGATCAGTAAATTTTACACAAAACATGATAAGAGTGCTCAGTCTTTACTTCTGGAGAAAAAGATTTTTGAGTGTATGTGTTAGGTTGCTTTTGATTTTGAGAGAGTATCTCAAAACTGATGACTAGACTGGCCTCTAATTCATGGCCATTTTCCTGTTTTAACCTCACAGGTGCAAGGCATGAACCTGCATAGTTGGCTAAAATGATGGACTTCAACGGAGAGTTTAGGAATAAAATATGTCCCAGTAAAATTTCATTTTTTTATCAAAATTCACCCAATATTTTGCTGGGAAAACAATTAGCAAGCAAACCCAACATCTATATGTTAAAATACTTACCATATAATAATCCTTAAACATCCCTGATGATCCAGATAGGGTCTGAACAGACCCGTGAGGCAAACGGGAGGACCTCGTGGATGCAGTGCTTCTCCAGTCATAAAACATCCTGTCTGCTAGAAATACGGATAGAGGTTAAAGTAATATTTATCTAAGGAGAACAGACACTGATCATATTGCTTAATGATACAAAGAGGAAAGCAAATCATTTTTATGGGCTCACTTTTCTGTGTTAAAATCACATCTTGTCATCTCATCAGAGAGAGATGAAGAAGCGATGGTACAGCCTAGAGAAAGACTTGAATTAATTGGCTCCTTCCAGTACAGCTTCATGTTTTTATTGCATGCAGTGTGCCCATCAGAAGGCTAGTGGGTTCATTTTCGTCACTTATTTCTCCCAAGAACACTGACTTCATTTTTAAAAAGAAGACTTAAAGCAAAATTTTATCTGTGAATGGCACATAGACAAAGAAAAGGGAAAAGGAAACAGAATAGGAAAGCAAACACAATAAAAGAAAGTCCAGAGAATTATTATTAAGGACTAAGTCTTAAAACTGCAACGCAAATGAAACTGTACCCAGTGCCTAGGTGAATATTACTGAAAGAGGAAATGGCCAGCCAGGGGAGGCTCTCAGTTCCTCTGTGGGATTTCTGCCACAATCTTATCTCTAATTAAATAATCGGGAAATTTGAGAACCACCTGATGATTTGTTTCTCAAAATTATCTATTATTTTTAAAAGAAAATAATTAGTTCAATCTTGTCATTCAAATAAGCCACATGGTATCAGATTTCTAATTTTTCTAATATTTACTCATAAATTCTCTTCTGAAAATGTCAGTTCAATAGTCATCTATGATGTATTACACAAAAATTTTGAGACTTCAGAAATAATTGTTTTATTTAGTTGCTTTTCCGTTTATTTAGAGAACCAAAGCCTGAATGTCTTATAGGGAGGAAAAATGTAAATTTAAATCATAAATGCGGAAATGCTGTTGCAAATATCAGAATATATATGCACATTTTTAAAATAGGATTGTCTATTTGGCCAAAAGAGTCTCTGGTCTCAGGGCTGGAGAGATGGCTCAGAGGTTAAGAGCACTGACTGTACTTCCAAAAGTCCTGAGTTCAATTCCCAGCAACCACATGGTGGCTCACAACTATCTGTAGTAAAACATGCTGCCCTTTTCTGGCCTGCAGGGACATATGCAGGCTGACCACTGTATCCTTAGTAAATAAATAAATCTTTAAAAAAATTAAAAATAAAATAAAGAAGAGTCTTTGGTCTCTATCAAAAAGTTTAAAATCTCTTTAAAAAGGGAAGATAATAAATCATATATTTTATTCCTGATTCAATATGAACAAAGAAATTTTTTAGTGAAAGCAAATTTCAAAAAAAACAGCTTAGAGAAAACTGGTTAGATTAAAAGAACAAAAGGTGTTGGCCAGGACAAGGTCTTGTATCTTTTACTTTAATCGGGACTTTTATAAGTCCTTGGAAGATGCAGGATTGCACAGGACATATCAGAGGTTTGGCAAGTTCTCACAATGTTTTCTTTGAATATTTATTTATGTATTTATTTGTATAGGTTTTTCTGTCTCTGTATGCCTGTGCGTTATGTGCGTTCATAGCCTGTGGGTGCCAGAAGAGAGTGTCAGATTTCCAGGAACGGAGTTACAGATGATTGACAGCCATCATGTGGGTGCTGGAAATCAAACCAAATCTTCTGGAAGAACAACCAGTGCTCTTAACCACTGAGCCATCTCTCCTGCTTCCTTGTTAAACTTTCTTAACTCATTCAAAGCACTATCCCACATTTCCTCTTCCGCCCCCTTGCAATGAGTGTTTGTCTATGTCTAGTGTCCAGCTTCTTAAATTATTCAAGGCGACCCATGAGATTGGATACTTGAATCTGTGTGACAGCAAAGAAAATGGCGACAGTAAAAAGTTTAGAATGTGTGACAACCTAAAATCAATTAGAAATCAATGTCCATGTTGCACTGTGCACCTTCACTGCAGGTTCGTTCCTGCATACACTTTGGATTTCAAATGTCTCCACGACAAACAGTGCCAACAAACGCTGCAGGAAAGGCCCAGCTCGGATTCCAGGTGACTGGACGCTATGAATTGCAGTTCTTTTACTATACAAACAAACTTTTTTCCTCTTGATTGCAAAAGTAGACTTCATTTCTCAGTATGAATTACTTTAGATTGTATTATTTTAGAATTTGATTTTTAGAAGTACTGTTTGAGTTGCTGGCTTGAGCGTTACATATATATATATATATATATACATACATATATATATACATATATACATTAAGAAAATTTTGGCTTGGGAGTGGGAAAGATTGCCAACAATTTCTGACATGGCCCTAAACATCCTGCAGTTCTGCGTTACACAGTTTATGAGATGCAACATTTTCAGCATTGCTGGATACAGAAATATCTAAACTCTGAAAAGAGATGAAGATAGTCTATGTCATAGTTTCACATATTCAGCTGAGATTTAATTCTTTTTATAAAGCAAACAAGCACATTTATGTAATTATTATGCAAATTTGACTTAATCTTTAATGGTAAAGTTAACGTATACCAAAGAAGTGCTTTAAAATAAACTTTTTATTGATTTGTAAGTAAACAGCCGATTTGTATGCCTGTTTTGTAGAGCTCTATACTTTGGAGCACATAGAAATTTTCTAGGCAAAAGGGAGGTTACAAGTCAAAAAGTTTAAGAAGCCCTTTTGCAAAGAACTGCAACCTCTTTTCCAGTCTCTGATGTCAATTTGCAAACTTTTCTGGGGCCAGAACAATATCTTACTTGAATTGGACACATGTTTCTGGCTCATTAGCAATGTGAGTAAAATAGCTATATAAACACTGGCAAGTCAAATTTGGCCTCTGCTCACAGCTACAGCCATCTGATTCTTGACAAAAGTGCCAGAAACATACATTGGATAAAAGCCTTCTCGACAAATGGTACTTAGAAAACTGTACACACACTTGAAGAATGAATGGAAGCAGACTCCTATGTCCCCCATACAAATCACTTCAAAGACCTTACTGTAAGGTCAGAAACTGTGACCCACCTTAAGATACCAGCGGAGGCCAGGATTTTCTGAACACTACACAGTAATAACTGAGAAACCAATAATAACAAATGACAATTGGGTTTGTAATAAACTTAAAAAGCTTCTGTACAGCATAAGAAACAGCAGAAGTAAATGACAGTCCGCAGACTGGGAGAGAAAGGTTTTCTGGATACTCATCCAACAGTTATTTACTTAATATCCAGAATGTATAAAGAAGCGAAAAAACAAGAACCAAAGGAATAATCGTAAACTCAATAAATGGACAGATTATCTGAAAAGACACTTCAAAGGAAGGGCAGCAGGCCAATAGATACATGAAAAAATGTCTAGAATCTTGAGAAATATGAAAATCCTAACTACATAGATTTCCCATCTCATTCCAGTCAGAATGGCCATCAGGAAGAAAACCAAAAATACGAAGTGATGCTAAAGATGCCAGGTCAGATGAGGACAATCCACTCCTGGCAGGAAAGTAAACAGCCCAGTCGGAATGGAACTCAATATAGATATTCCTCACATAATTAAAATAGAATTTCTATGTGATATAGTTAAAATACTTATGGTATATTCCCAAAAGAAACAAAATCAGCTTACTACAGAGATACTTATACAACCACCTCTTTTTTTCCCCAAGGCAGGGTCTTCTGTAGCTTTGGGCTCTGTCCCAGAACTAGCTCTTGTACATTAGGCTGGCCTCAAATTCACAGAGATCCACCTGCCTCTGCCTTCCGAGAGCTGGGATTAAAGGAGTGCGCCACCACCAACCAGCCTACAATCACCTTTATTCTTGTATTAATCATAACAGCTAGGTTATAGAATCAGTATAGGTGCCAATCAACTGGTAAACAGATAAATAAAATGTGTAATGTGCACAACTGAGTTTTAGTCAATCATGATATTGTGTTGTTTAAGAAAAAGGTGCATGGAGCAGGAGATTCTAATGTCAAATACAATAGGCTACGTGGTGCCTGTGTGTGTATGTGTGTGTGGTGCCTGTGTGTGTGTGTGTGT